CAACGAGTTGAGAAATCAACCGGGAAACCTATCTAAAGAACCAAAAACAAGGTAAGCCAGGCCGCCAAAAACAGCATGGCAAAGACAGAGGGACTACTCCCATGCCTCCTTCAGGAGGCCTAACTCGTCCCTAATCAAAGACTAATTCCGGGCTAAATGCTGAAAATGCACGCAGTTATTATTCTATATACAGACCAAATATTCGCTGAAAATGTACATAATGATATGGATGTTGGACTACAAAATTACTGGTTATTTTTGGCCTGTGTGTGTGTGTGTGTGTGTGCCGCATTTAGCTCTTTAGAAGGCTGGTACTGATCAAAGTGGGTGGGAAATTAGCATATTATCGTGAGAAGAATAGATAGGTCATGCTCTGATGTGCTAAAGGAACACTTGGCATTTACAGGGTAATGTTTAGGCCACGACGCTTGCTTACGAAGAACTACTGGTAAAAAACACAACAAAACATCTGAACTTCTAGCTGCCTCTTGAAAAAAATATCTAAACTCACAAGGTCAACATAAATTGCAACTCTTTCTTCAAGAGAGAAACATAACTGGAGCAAGAGCATGTATGGAAGAGTCTAGAATAGAGTAGAAGTGTGTGAATGTAATGTAAATCTGTTTCAAAAAAACATAGTAATTATATTCTCCATTAGAAGAGGTGTACTAAGTTTAATCATGAAATCTTCTATATACTACACATGGCAGGATCTGATTCTGGTGTAATTAAGGCCAACTCCATCGCATGACCCCAAATGGCCCATGCGGCTCGACATTGAATCGGCCAAGAGGAGGGCCCGGCGGACCGTTGCGGCGGAGAAGAAAGCCGCTGCCGACTACGCCGCCGAGGCCGCGGCCGCGCAACACAAGGCCGCTGTTGACCAGAACGAGGCCATCCTCGCCAAGGCCACGCAGGCAGCGATGACGCAGGCCCTCGTCATGCTAGGGTTATGCCGACCCGGGCCGGCCATTCTCTTCGCCGCCGCCATGGCCGCGACGAGCACAGGATCGTCGTCCGTCCGTCCTCCGCAGTTCCAGTCGCCGAGCTCCTATAACACCGGAGACGGCCGGTTTTCATGTGCCACGGCAGAATGGTCAGACCCGGTTCTCCACATTGCCGGACGGCAGCGTGATCTCGCCGGCTAGTCCCGCCAACCAGGCCGTCATCGACATCAACGTCACACCTGGATTCAGTGGCGCTGGCCAGTCGTCCGACGGGATGCAAAGGAAGCAGCCCTCGTCGATTCCTACGGCCAACCTTCCCGGCGCCCGCAACCTGTTCGACGAAATGCCAATCCCGACGCCGACGGGCGACGATCCTGACTACACCATGTTCATGGAGAGCGTAATCTTCGAGGGTCGGGCCAGGCCTTCCACCCCGACGGCCAAGGCCAAGGCTTCGATCCCGACGAGACCCAAAGTCAAGACGGCCGCGGCCAAGATGGTACGGACCACTACGGTGTCCACATAGAAGAAGAGGCTGACGACCATGGCAACTCATGGCATGAAGATGACGACATGTATTGCGAAGATGAGGAAGAAGAGGTTGACATTGCGGAGGAGCCATTGTTTATTGATGAGCTGGCCCAAAGAGCCGAGGCACAAAGGAGGAAGCAAAGCATTCGCACAGGATCATACAACAAAGAAGAGGGCACGTTGATTTGCGAGAGTTGGATGGAGATAGGCCAAGATCCCAAGACCGGTGCCGAGCAAAAAGGATCCGTCTTTTCGACGAGAGTTCATAAAACCTTTCACGAACGGAGGAAGTTTGCGCCCTACAAGCTTGCGAGCAACCGTGGCATCAACTCAATCCAAAAGAGATGGGGTTTCATTCAACAAGAATGCAATAAGTATTGTGCCGATCTTGAGAGCATTGAAGCCCGTCCCGTGAGTGGCCTAGGCGCGGTGACTTGGTATGACCTCTCCTATTTGCATTGCTATGCCATGTTCATGTTTGTTGTATCTTGTGTCCTCCACATATTTGTGGCCTTCTTTTTGATTGTGTAGGCATTCCAATCTTTGGAAGCCTTCAAGGCCCGGCATAAGAACAAGCCATTCACTCTCACTCATTGTTGGTCGCTCATCAAAGATTGTCACAAGTTCAAAGATCAATATGCCGCTCTAAAGAAGAAAGGAGGGACAGTGGTCGTGGCTGCTAATGGAGATGTGCTCAAGAGGCCGAGGGGCAAGACCAACTCGAAGCTTGACGAGAAGCGTGATGTGGCATCTATCGCCTTGCAAGAAACTTTGCACGGCATGATGACTCAAAAGGAAGTGAGGGAGGAGAGGAAGCGTCAAGGAAAGGAGGAGCAAATGAAGATATACTTGGAGCTTCAAATGAAGAAGCTTGACATGGAGGAGGCCGCCAAGAGGAGGAAGCTCGACATGAAGGAGGCTGCCCAATTGAAGAAGCTCGCGATCGAGGCCACCAGTGCCGACACCAAAGCAAAAGAGGTGGTGTTAGCAATCATGAGCGTGAACTTGACCAACATGTCCCTGAAGAGAAGAATTTGGTTCGCGAACCGGCAAAAGGAGATGTTCGACCAAGACGGCCTGAACTAGGGAGGCCTCGGCCATGGACTATGGCCGTTCTTTTTAAAGGCTGGCAAGTGTGCCAGCCGCTGGCTATGTTGCCAGCAAGAAAGTTGTTCATTTTGAAGGCTGACTAGTGTGCCGGCCGCTGGCTTTGTTGCCGGCGTGAAGACTTAGGGCTTGACCATTTTGTAGGCTGGCATATGTTTGCTGGCCGCTGGCTTTGTTGCCGGCATGCACTATGAACTACGGCCGCGGTGGACAAAAAATTCATTTGCAAAAGATTTCAGGCAGCCAGACCCAGATGCGTCCGCGCGTTGGGCGCATCCAGAAAAATGGCCGGACGCCGCCCCATTGCCCTACCCAAACGGACGTTCGTTCGCGGTCGATGGTTGGAGTTGGCCTAATGGTAAATCAAACGGCCCGCAACACTCAGTTTTGCCAGATCTTGACCATCGGATCAAGTTCATCCAATGATATACATTCAAAGTTATTCATACACTATATAGATGATACAGATATAGAAAACACACAGAAAAAGGAAAGCATCTAAAATTCTAGCTGCCTCTTGAAAAAAATATCTGGATCACAACAACGATGGTCTGAATTGACTCTGAACTTTCTTGTGGTGAGGAAAATTGTCTTCGAATTTCACACATCACAATAATAAAAAAGAGTATTCAGTATATAGACTACTAAAAACTGAACCTCGGTATGGCATCCGGACATTTATTTTTTCTGAAAAGGAGGGTGACCCC